ATTTCCATGGTTATGCAATACGATGAACTTTTAAAATAATATTCTTAGGGAGAAATACAAATTGTTAAAGTTTCAAATCCTTTCGGTTGGATTTTAAATTGGTCCAGACGTTTTAGTTTCAAGTTTGCACATTCAGTAATAAAAATAGTATATTGCCTCCCTCACCTATTTCATTTTTAGAGGTAATAGAAAGATTATATGGATTTTCAAAGTATATTTTAAAATGCTTATAGTTATTGCCACTGCTACTATGACTATTATTTAAAATGATATTTTAGTAGTACTTTAGAAGGCAGAGCTATTCATAAAAAGAATACTTGAGTTGCAATATATCCACTTGCAGAGAGTAAAACCAGTTAAATTTAATGGAACTTACTCCAAGTAGACATACAGGGAGGGTACTTGAATGGCATGTGCCTCAATCTTACACAGATGTAAAAGATCAGTGCCATTGAACTGTCAATAAGTTCTTCATGTAGATGTTTAGGATAGTTTTCTTGATAATTCAATAAATAATAAAATAATAGGCTTGAACTGTGGTTGTGCAATAGGAATATGTAGGTGTATATAGAGAATCAAACATCATGAGTTTAATACAGGTAATCCTTGGGTTACAACTGTAATGGAGCCTGCCAATCAGGCTCTATTGTTAACTCACGATAGTTGTAAATTTGGTCATCTGTGTGACTGACCAGATTTTTATGATATTTTTAAGAAGTGGTTTGTAAACCGAACACCAGGGTTGTATACTTTTTGCCAGAAATCAAAAGTAAATTCCAGTTTTTGGCAAAACCATCATAAAACAAGGTCATGCAATGGTAAGACACTGCAAATGGCTGTCAGTGTGGTCCAGTTGTCAGTGCCTGAGGTGTGGTCATGTGACCACAGGAAACCATCAACCTTGGAATTTCAAATCTGGGTTGTAAGTACCCCCCCCCCGGTAGGTCTGTTGTAACTTCCAACAATCGCTAAGTGACTGGTTGTAAGTTGAAATCCACCCGTAATGCACCATTCCTTGCAAATGGCTGCTGTGTGTCATTTAAACAATTGTAGTACTTTAGTTTGCAGTATCCTCTATATAATTAATTCTTTTACTTTGTATTTTTTAAAAAACCTTAGGTATTCAGAAAAAGAAAAAGTGGGGTAAATTTTGAATAAATAAGTATAGATAACATAAAATATTAAATGTTTTGTTTAGTAAACTTGCAAAAATGTAGAGAAATTATGTTCCTTTAAAACTGTCTGTTTTCAAATATCTGTAAATATCTGTTAAGATTTATCTGTAATTTGCATGAAATCCATATAATTAAACATATAGTCTTTATATTCTGCTTTGGATCTCAGAACACTATTTTGATAGTGATTTTGCATAATCTTTATAATATGCCATCTGGCAACCCTTTTTCTTGCATTAATCAAATCTGTGAAATCTATAAGTCAAATGATAATTGTTGTATAAAGTAAATTAATTTGATTCAAAATAATACTTGAAAAAGTCTGTTAAGATATGCCAAAGTGTAAACATCATTCTTTTGAGTTTGCATGGTTTAAGAAGGTGGGTTCATGGCTGATAAACATGAGTTGGACAAAACATGCTGCTTCTAAGTTTAATAAGGGAATTTTGAAAATATTATAACAGTATGAAAGGCTATTTTTTTATGAAAAACCTGGAAAATATCTCATTTGTGGCCTGATTTGTTTTTATAAATATTTAACTTCCATTAAAACTGTTAGTGATTTGCTTGCAAAGGAAGCATTGATTCATAATGTAGCCCTGACATCTCAAATATGGGATCCGTGAGCACAACTGTGCCTACTAGGCCAAAGTGTAATCTGTGCCAAGTGATTTCTAAGAAAGCGAATGGATTGATTATTCATGTGCCAAGATTTTTACACACACACACACGGAGAGAGGGAGGGAGGGAGGCAAGGCTGGGGACTTGCTTTCTGATTCCAGCTTTTCCATCTTTATCTGAGAAATCCCTTACTAAAATTCAAACAGAATCTGGTGGTGAACTGATTTCTCCTTTTTTCCCACCTATTTTTCAACAGGACAATTTTTAACCAAGCCACCTGAGAATGCAGAGCAGGGGGACAAGGAAATCGTTGCTCCTGAAACTCTTTCTTTCCTTCCTTCCTTCCTTCCTTCCTTCCTTCCTTCCTTCCTTCCTTCCTTCCTTCCTTCCTTCCTCTCAATGTTTAATTTCTTTTTTTCCTGATATTACTCTTTTTTTCCCCTTCTTGTCCTCTGTTTTCTATAGAGCCAAAACCAATGGCCTTTTCAAACGACAGCATTGCATTGCAGTTTGATGAAATACAACTGGAGGTTCTCACAACTAGGAGTGGCTTGCTTATACTCTCTCTGTGTGTAGAGGGTATACACAAATTTTTGAGTCAGTTTTGACTCCTGGTGAATTGCCTAGACAAGTTCATGCAGTTTTCTTGGCAGTATTTTCAGAAGTGGTTTGCCATTCCTTTCTTCCTAGGATTGAGAGTCCTGCTCGGGATTACCCATGGGCTTTGTACTTAAGGCAAGATGAGACATCCCCATCTCCTGATTTCTGTTGCTATAGCCACTACACCAAACTGGCTCTGTGATACATTACATAGACCAGTGTTTCTCAACCTTGACAATTTTAAGGCATGTGGACTTCAACTCCCAGAATTCCACAGCCAGCAATGCTGGCTGTGAAATTCTGGGAGTTGAAGTCCACATGCCTTAAAATTGTCAAGGTTGAGAAACACTGACATAGACAGACAGACATTTTCTGTAACATCATACAGTATTGCCTTGGTGTTTTGCAAAGTAAATCCATATTGATAAATTACATTAGGAAAATGCAGAAATAAAGCAAATGGAACAGAGAATAGGTGCAGGTTTTACATTTCCATTCAACTAAAAAAAAAAAGTTTCCTTCACCTTCTGGTTGAACCTTGGTGACTTCATTGGCAATCCATGGAGCATTCAGGGTAGACCTGTTTCCCAGTCTGAGATTATTGTAATTGTCTCTGAGATAATTCACTTGAAGTACTTTCAACGAGCCTGTTGTATCTGCTTCGTTTAATATTATTTTCCCCTTTTGCTTAGTTGCCCTTGAAGAGTTTCCTCTCCCTCTTTTGTTAGTGCACTTTACTCATTAAGACGTTCTGTGGGTAATTCCATTTACTTCTGAACACGTAAACGGTTTTATACAGGGTTTTTAAATAAACTGTAAAGGCTTGTAGCATTGAAAGAATATATAGAATCCTAGGAAGCCGCCTAAAGTGATCACCCTGTCTTTGCACTGACCTTAATCACTGTCAGTGATTATTTTGGTAAGAATTTTTCCTAGCTGGAGATAATAGGGTTAATAACTGAGATTCTGTCTATAGAAAGTGATTGTTTATAACCCACTGTAGATTTCACTTTGCTAAGACAATATATGCATCCTTTGAATAGTACTAGGGGATGTTACAACAGAAAAGAAAGCACTATAGTTTAAGATGATAAATAACAGGCAGTTTTTAAAAACTTAGGAAACCATCTGTTCGTTTTGTTATTGAACAAATAAAGCCTTAAAACAAAGTTAAAAAGAATAGAATAGAATAGAATAGAATAGAATAGAATAGAATAGAATAAATACTTTATTTGACCAAGTGTGATTAGACACACAAGGAATTTGTCCCTGGTGCAGAAACTCTTAAATAAACTTTAAGATGTAACTAAGGTAAGAGCATAATCTAAAAGACATCTTGCTAAGAGTCTCCACACAAGTGGAATGAGAATTATATTAAGAAATACTTAATCCCTTTGTAGCTGCTTAACATTTGGAAAGGAAGAAAGAAGCTTCATGCAGAGATCTTCTCCTGAAAACAGATAATTCTGCTGTGTTGCTACGTTGGCATCTGGGATTTATCAATAATCTCAAATCTCATATTTTACTTCTGTCAGATCCTGATTGCAAAGAGGCAGGGTGAGAAAAAGCAGTTATCCAGTGGGCAGCCGCCTTTCTTGATGCTGCACAAATTAAAAGGGCAACGATACCCTCCCCCAGTGGTGGGATTCAAATATGTGAACAACCGGTTCTCTGTGTGGATGCCGCTTCCGGAAGTCCATTCTGGGCCTGGGACACAAAAAACTAGCTACCGGTTCTGCTGAAATGGTGCGAACCAGCTGAATCCCACCACTGCCCACCCTTTTTTTATTTTTTAGTATGGCAGTTTGCTGGACTGAAGAATATCTTTTTAATAGTACCAACATGATTTACTGCATTTCACTTATCTTATTCCACTGAAACCAATAAAAAACATCAGCTGAAGGAACAAATTTACTATATTTTAGGTGTTTGGAGAACTAGATTTGATTTGGAAATCCGAATTTAATATATAGTTTTGCAGCAGATGGTGTCAACAACAGAGTCCATGACATGAATTCCAAAAACTTCAGATTTAGTCCTTGCTGTCTGCACAGTAATTAAAAAGGACCAGGTAACTACTGATAAGAAAATTTCATCTATCTGGACTTTTGGAAGGCTGAATAGATAATTGAGCTTTATAGCCTGACCCAGGATGTAGCAGTTGCCTTAGTTTTTCTATAAACAGTTGATTTCACTTAAGTCTTGGAGGTCATCCAGACTAGTAATTTGAAGCGTAATCCAGCCATCACTGTGGCAATATAAAACATGTCTCATTAGTTATATATTGTTACAGCAGTGGCTGGAATGAGGCTATAAATTATCAACCTGAAGGAGTTCATAGTTACGTGCTATATATAATTGACTGTATTACTCATTCAGTATTTTTTGCATTTTTTAAGAGATTTAAACATTTACTAATGTGTTGGATTCAGATTGTAATACAATGCAAAATATTGCCTTTAGGATTATGCTTTTTATTTTTTTTTATTATTTGTTTAAAGAATCTAGTATTAACATGTAAACAGAAGGCCTTTGTGCTTCAGACTGGCTGTGATATGTGCGTTTTTGTTTTTTTCCCCCTTTTGTTGTTGTCAATAGAAAAGATTGATCACTGGGCTGGTGAACGTAATAGCTGTCCCAGTCAGAAAAGGAGAAAGGAAATTAGCAGGAAGATTGGTGGAAAATGATATCTGTCAAAAGAAACACTTGGAGAGCACTGAGTTTAGTAATAGGTGACTGCCGGAAAAAAGGGAACTTTGAATTTTGCCAAGGTAAGGAACAGATTTGTAATTCAACATGCTGTTTTTTGAGAAGAAAAAAAATGATTTTTTTTTGTCTTGTTTCTTAACTGTGTGTTTAAATCTTCTTGTTATCTTAATGTGTTTTCTACTCCTAAATTATTTGGTATCTAACATCTACCTTGGATTGTAGATGGCAAACCTAAAACAATCTATAAAAGAAAATGTCCCATTTACTTTTATCTCAAATGAATGAAATGTCCAATTGAGGAAAAGAAGACAGATATGTAATGAATACATACACTTTGCCCAACTGCAATTCCCCCTTCCCATTTTGGATTTAAAGTTCAACAGTATCCATATACAATCAGACTTTCTTTCTATGGTTTCTTTCTCTGGTTTGTTCCAGAATCCCAATTTTCAGGATATGCTAAAAGAAAAATAAAGACCTAAATAGACTTTTAACTACACTTTCTTGTGGAAAGAGCTATCAGGCATAGTCTGAGCAGTATATCTTAGCATTCTGTTGATTTGCTTTTAAACCAAACTATAGCTAAGTGTTAGGTCCTTTCCCTAAGGAACTTAAAAAGGATAAGAGACTGTACGAGATAAGGTTGTCATGATTATTTAAGCTATTATTGGCTTAATTTTAAGAGCCGTGGTGGCACAGTAGTTAGAATGCAGTATTGCAGGCTAATTCTGCCGACTGCCAGCAGTTCAATTTTCACCAGCTCAAGGTTGATTCAGCCTTCCATCGTTCTGAAGTCAGTAAAATGAGGACCTAGATTGTTAGGAGTAATATGCTGACTCTGTAAACCAGGGGTCCCCAACCCCCGGTTCGTGGATCAGTACCAGTCCGCGGCATGCAAGCAACTGGTCCGCACAAACAAGAAAGGCCCATCCATGTAGGCAGCAAACAAAACCACGCATCCTCCAGTCTGCGGAAAAACCTCTCTCCACGGAACCAGTCCCTGGTGCCCAAAAGTTTGGGGACCTCTGCTGTAAACCACTTAGATAGGGCTGTAAAGCAGTGTGAAGCGGTATATAAACCTAAGTGCTATTGCTATTAATTTTAGGAAGTAATTTAAGAAATAAGAAATCTAAGGTTTCTTAAGGGTCTTAAGGAGCAATTGAAACAGTTTTTAAAAATGATGCTACAAATCTGTTCTTAGAGGTAGTTCCAGTATATGGCATAGCAGTGAAGAAAGCATGAAGGCTTAAAGACTATTTATGCTTACTATATCAATATTAGATCCAATATGTGCCCACAAAATGAACAGGAATGTGTTGAGTGGCAGGTGGCATATATACATGTGGAATGTTTAAGATGGCATATTTCCCTCTTTACCACACATTGATGTTGTAGGTTTTCAATGTATATGAATGGCTCTTTAAAACTATACGTATCTACCCATTTATTCAGAAATAGATCCAGTGGCACTAACAAAGGAATTGTAGACAACGTACTTTAAGGTAGCATCAACACTGTTTTTAAATTTGGATTCATTTTATTATTTAGATGATATTTTTGTCATTCTTGCAAATATGTGTTTGAGTTACTGAATAATTCTAAAGGAGTTGAAAGGACAACAACATTTTGAATGTATGGGTTGATCTATATAGGTATATATAAGTAGAAGAGGTATAAGGTATATCCATTACAAATGACAGTCTTGGATTTTGGAAGCAATCCATGATAAAATGTAGCTTTTTTTTTTTGCCTTTTAGGCTACAAAGACTTAATTTGCCCATGTCGCTGCAAAAATTTGTTTCAATCAGACCAGTTCATATTAAACCTTCATCATCATTTCTCTTTAGTTGACCATCCTAAAAATGTTTTTTTTTTCAAATGATGTATATTCATAATTTGCCTCTTCACCTCAAAATATGTACGAAACATCTTGTGTATCGTTCTCTAACCAGTGTTTGTCAGAAGTGTTGGGACTACAACTGCCAGAATTACCAACAAGAATCTTCTCCAGCACTTATAGCTGTCTTCTTTTTTCCAAAAGCCTGACTCTTTGGGGAATATTGGCCTTCTGCCATCACATGAAACTCTTTGCAAAAGTTTTTAAACTTTTTTTGTTTTAAATCCCATTTATTTCAGGGCAAAATGAGATACATCTTTATTTCTCTTTTAGTGAATCAATATGTTTGAAAATCTAGTGGTTTATTTGGATTGTAGTAATAGATTTCAGAAAGTTTTGAATTGAAGGTCAACAAAACCTCAATTTTAAAAATAAATTTTGGCAACCTTCAGATCATAGATATGCCTAGATCTCCCCACAGTCTTGCCACTAAAATTCAGTAGCAAACTGCTGGTTACCATGTTACATTTTTCAATTTTATTTCTCAAAGGTTATTTCACAAAGGTCCCACCATAGAAATAATTTAATGTTATTGAGGGGTGTTTGCAGGGCTATATCAATGACCACATAATAGACCAACTCTTTTTACATACCTAGAAAGTCTAGTGTTTAATCACAGAATTGCAGGCATTATCTTGTATTTTGTACTCTGCCCTGCATGTGGTCCAGCTGATTGTGGAAGAATTTGCCTCTGACCCATTTTTTTATCACTGGGGAGGGGAGCTAGATGTATCATTTTTCATCGGTTTTTAAAAGTTTTGTTTTGCTTCTGTTAAATAATTTTGTAGTTCAGATGTGTGACTTTAAAATCGTTGTATTCTCCCCCATCAAATATCCATTTGTCATAGAAATTAAAAACTAATTTTTATCCTTACCTCCGAGAAGATGTATAACTCATGAGTACAAAGAACTTCTTAGCAACTTTTGAATACTAGTTTTCCAAAGCACCTTAACATATTGTAGATATCTATTCCAGAAGTTCAAGCAAAACATAAATCAGTTTTAAACAAATATAAGCATTAACAAATTAAAACAAGAAGAAATTTAAAATAATAAATGTAGCTTATATAAAGAATAAGAATTCCTATACAGCCAGATGAACCTTTTATTGGGGTCTAGGCAGTCCTCCTCAATTTTAGCCTAGAATGACATCCACATTGAAACCTCAACAGGGTGCATTCATACCACACTAAGCTATAAATACTAACTTCCATGATTTTTCTAATTGCTGTATCTTATGCTGTATGTGTGTTCTGTGCCGAAATGAAACTAAACAAAGAGTGTTCCATAGTGTGTTGTAGGGTTGTTTAAGAAAATACTATCTGGTTAATTATAACTGGAAGTATTCTGCAAAACTGATTACACTTCTATCTTAAGTTTCCCTTAAAGAAAAGTGGGATATTAATGTAATAATTAATCTAAGGTTTTTTTGATGTATTAATTCTATGCTCTGTGGTGATGTGTAAAAAGTAAATTAAACCTTTAAAATGAAATAGTAATAGAAGCCATTATTATGGTTATTATTTATCGATATAATGATCTTTCTCCTGAACAAGCTCAGGGATACATAATTAAATTATAACACAATGATAAAGAGCCAGTTTGGTGAGGTGGTTAAGGCATCAGACTAGAAACTGGGAGACTGGGAGTTCTAGCCCCATTTTAAAGCCATCTGGGTGTCCTTGGACCAGTCATGTTCTCTTAGTTCCCAGGAAACAGGCCATGGCAAACCATTTCTGAAAATCTTGCCAAGAAAATTGCAGGGACTAGTCCAGACAGTCACCAGGAATCAATACTGACTTGCTGGCAATGCATACAATAAATAAAATTCCTATGTTAGGATTTTAATTCTCTTTGTTTTCCAAATTGCTTATTATTACGCCCATATTTTGTGCCTCTCCAGGCATACATCTGTGTTTTATTCTTGTTGCCATATATTTGTAATGCGGCATGGCTGAGAATACAAGAGCTTTATAGCTGAATAGGGATGTGAAGCTGGCTCTCTCTGATCCTTGACACAGTGTCTGTCTTATTATTTTTAAAAAGCAGGATAGAAATGGAAACCCTTCCAAGAACTGCAGTGGACAAGTAGTTTAATAGTGTAACCGTTTTATTTCACCACTGAATAGCAAATAAGCAATAAAGCAGTCTATGGACTGCTATAGACTACCTTACTTAACCGTTTTACAGGTCTTTGGAAGAAGTAATGCTGATATTTCAGGCTCGTCTCATCTCTGTTTTTCATTAGCAAGCAGATGAAATCTGATACTTAATCACACCATTGAAAGGGCAACTTCTTTAAAAATGTAAAGGAAATACATCCATTAAGCTAAACCTTGGAAGAAGGTTGCTGTATGCATTGTTTTTTCCTGACATCGTTTCAAAGGCAGCATTGCTTCTCAATTTGTTTAAAAAAATTTAGTCAGTTTAAGATCAGTGGCCAAATTTCCAATCTCATAAGTGCCTACTAATGAGTAGATGCTTTTAGATAGGGACAAGCAACCTAGAGATTTTGCAAAAACAGAGCAACCTATTTTGCACTCTAGAGATGGGGAAGAGAAGGATTGTGTTTTAGCTTTCAAGGGCTAAAGGAAGTGCGGCTATGGGTTTTCAAACTTTTTCAAACACTGTAACTTCTTATTTTATTTTATTTAAAAAAAAATCTCCTGGAACCCCCGATTAAGAGACAAAGCTCTAGTGACATAAAATTGGCTGTGTTTCAATGAGCTTTTTTTTTTTTTAACTTAGAAGACCATCAACATTTAGCAGAACCATAGTATTTTGTGGAACCCAGTTTGAAAAATTCTGACATTGCTCAGAGGATAGGAAAAAAATATTTATACTTCTTTAAAAAAAAGTTTTTTTAAAAGAAAACTTTAAAAAAGACTTTAAGTTTATGGAAGGAAATATAAAAAGCAATTTATTCTCTGGCATGATGTATAAACTGCCCAATCTCAATGTTTCCAGATTTCTTACAAAATGATAACTACAAACTAATAGGTAGTTCAAATCCCATTTTTTTCCTATGCTGAGGATTTTGGTCAGGTTACTTATGATTTTGCTTCTTTTTGCTTTACTGTGAAATGAATTTCTAAACTTTCCCCTGAGACAATGGTAGAGCCTTTCTAATCAGAAGGAAATAGAAACTAAAATTTGCAGCCTCTT